GTCTTTTCCTCATTTTTATTGTGCACAGTGAGTCCCTGGATTTGATCTGCACCTTCTGCATTTCAGTAATGATGGTATTTTAGGAGTCCCTGATTTTCAATCAAAAAGTAGCTGTGTACTTGTTCCTTTGGAGAAGTTTTAAGAAACAGTATATTTGCTCCTGGAGTGAACAGATCGAGTACCTCGAAGGCTGTGCTCAACAGAGACCTCTTTTGCTTTTGTTTTTCCCTCTCCCACACTGAGAGAGAGTAAAGGAAAAATAAGGAACAGGTAACAATCCCAGTAATGCAATTTTAAATGAGGCAAGATCCATACCAATTAAAGCTCATTAAGGCTCATAAAATGTAAGCATATACATTAGGGAAAATACAACACAAACCCCACACAATTGGGGCAAAACTTGCCAATAAGGACATCTAGCAAAGACGAGTCTTCAGACATAACTACAATGCATCGTTCCATAATGGAACAAGCCCAATACAAACTGAGAAGCACAAAACAAACTATCATGTCATAGTCAGCAAAAGTTAAAGACCCTCTGACATTTGATTAGAAATTTGACTTTCAAGTCTGGACAAATTTGGCAACAAGTTTGAGAAAGTACAGAATAAAACTACTTTCAGCCCAATCACCAAGGTCTAAATCACCTCTACAATAACTGACATTAAAATAGCAAATTATTTATAAGCTGGCTAAACAATCATTTATACACAAAGAATTGATAGTGGATTTCAGGAACATATGCACTTACTTTAATGCACAGTGTTAATATGTTCGGGTTACACCAAAATGTAGAAATTCAGGCTAAGGATCACTTCTTGTTGACAAGTCAGAACTATGAAGGACAGCTAAAAAAAGAAAGGTCTGAACAAAAACTAGATATTGACATTCAAAGAACAGCTGGTTTATTGGATATTGAGACTGATGAATGCAGCCCTTTGAAATACTTTATTTGGACATGTTTGTTCCCAGGAGACTGTTATGACAAAGTTTCTTATTGACAGACTAGAGGCATGGCCAGAAAGTGCTCAGAATTCTCAGACTGCCAATGAACTTGTTAGATGTTCTCTGGGTTACATTTTAAGTGTGGTACCGAGGAAATCTGCTGCTTTTCCTTGATTCTGATAGCAACACCAAAAAAACCGACTTGAAATCAGCAAATACAACCATCTTGTGTGTGATGGCAACTCAGCTGTGCAACAGAGGTATTATTTAACTTTATTAAGAAAAAAATAATCGGAGAAAACAATGAGAAGTCAAAAATGAGCTCTAAGTATTTTCTCTAAGGAAACACAAGACTGTCACAATACCTTCTTTAATATGAGATAAAAAGTGAAACTGATGCCTTCAGATACCTCACTTACTCGAACTCTGATCAAGAGCCGAAAGGTGATTCCTGAGAAAACAACCGTGTCAGTGGAGACAATGCAGCTATCAGACGCTGGCTGCTTTAAGTGAGATGGGAGTAGAAACAGACCTGAATAAGAAATGGCGTTTTTGATCACAAAGAACCGGAACTTTTTCCAAGAAACAGATTCACATCCTAATAAAAAACGTTAGATATTATGATTTTTCCCCCCCCCTGCTTGTCACGTTTTTATAACACTCATGAATATGCTGAATAAAGTTCTCTGGATACTTCTAGTCCTACCTCTCCAGCTCCCCGACGTCCCTGGCAACTCTCCTGTGAAAGAACCAAGGGCCTGGCCCCGTAGAAACCCCCCAGGCAGCCCAGGAGCCAAGCAATCTGGCAGGAAACCAGGCAGGCTCCTAATCGAAGTTTAGCTGACACTAACAAATTCCCTCAGACGTTTTGATTTTAATCAGCATTTGCTTGCTGACTGAAAACACTCTATGCAGAAAGTTCCACCAGGTCTACGCAAGAGCAACATGATGCACGTAACTGAATTGCCAGTTTAAAAAAAAAAAAGAAAAAAGATAAAAAGGATATTTTAGTGGTCCTTTTATGTGCCGTGCCTGGTACTCAAGTATTTAAATAAATGCCTAAAATGGCCTCTCTAACAGTGCCAGAGCCTGCTGCCACCAGTGCAGTGAAGCCGCGAGAGACGACGGCACACGCCTGACACCGCAGTGCCTCCCGAGGCCCTTTCCCGCCTCCCCTTTCCTTCCTCCCTTGTTTGAGGGCAGTTTCAGTGGCTGATGTTCGTCTCGGACAAGTCCCGGAGCGCGGCTGCCTCTGGTTTTCGGTGAAGTAGTGGCGGAGGAGCCCAGCGCCGCCTTCAGAGCGCGGTGGCACCGGGGAGCAGGTGCGGCTGTGTCAGCGCCGCGGAGCCGCCGCAACCCGAGAGCGGCTCCCGGGGAGCGCACGGCGGGGCGATGGCAGCACGAACCCGCCCGCCGGTACCGGCTCCGCACGGCGTGTCCCGCTGCTCCCGCCTGCCGACAGCCCAGCCGGGACCGCCGCGGCTCCGCGGGCAGGGCGGCCCTGGGCACCTGTCGCCCCGCTGCCGGGTCGGCTCTCCGCATCCTACGGCCCCTGCTCCGCTCGGCCACCGGGCCGCAGCCGCCCCGCACCACCTGAGGGCTCCACCGCGTACCTCGGGAGCCCCCTCCCGCCCCGAGCTCCCGGCCCGCCCCCCAGGGCAGCCCCAGGGCGGCCCCGGCCCCGCACAGCCCGGCGCGCTCCAACGACCAGGCGAGGTCCCGCCGGCCCCACCGCTCCGCCGGGGCGCACCGACCTGGACACGCAGCGCCATCTTCCCGAGCGACGCCGGGAGCAGGTGGCGGGCCCGGCGGGGACAGGAGCAGCGCCGGGGCTGGCCGGCTGTGCGGGGCGGGGAGCGGGGCGGGGCAGGGCAGGAGCAGCGCCGGGGTCGGCCGGCTGTGCGGGGCGGGGAGCGGGGCGGGGAGCGGGGCGGGGAGCGGGGCGGGGAGCGGG